TTCAATTTGTTAGGGCTTTTCATATATTAAAAGCATTGATTGAAATTGAATTTACTTGTTGTTGTTGTTTAGTCCATCATCTTTATAAAGTGACACTTATATATAAATCTACTGAGCCCTGAGAATTTACTCAAGTTATAACTTGTGATCGTTTGGTCTCCGTGTAAAGCATTGATTCTCATTAGAACCTGACCACTATTACAATATAAATGTTTTGGACGATTTCTACTACTGCTGCTACTGCTAATGTTTCTACAGTAATTGCCACTGCTATTACTACACTGCTACTTTGCGAATAGGGAGAAATAAATTAAAATATCAATTATAATATAATAGTTTATTCACAAAGAACAATGATATGATTAATATTTTCAAGTGCATTGTCGGTGATTTAGATATAAACATGTTCATAAACCCTTAAGACTAAGTTTAACTTTCTTTCGTTTGGAATTTTTTTATTTTTTCTAGAACATTTTCAATATCAAAACCTTTGCTTAAACTTTTAATACAAATTTTGAAACATTTAATGTTAAGATGAAGATGTTTTAGCTACGATATAAGGCACACTTCATATTGGTATGATATAATGCACATTACGTTTATTTACGCTTTAATGGACTGTAAAATATTCGACTGTTTTCAAGGAGAGCAGAAATATAGTAGAAACGACTATGTAAATAAATTATTTTATCACAAGCCCGTATCGCTTTTGCGATTTATTAATTTGCTTTTGCATGGCCGTGTATATCTATTTGAAACTGATTTCCGTTATACAAACAATGCGTAAAAATGCGCTAAATATTTATGTAACACTAGGCGCGTCAATGAAAAGGTGATTTTTTTTTACTGTTGATAGTTCAAATTTCGGATATGTGATAAATATAATATCCGTGTAGGTTTATTACTCAAATTTATTGAACTCGTAGTAAAAAAATAATATTATGCTAGCCATAGGCACGCATGTAATATTTTTATTCATGTTGTTTAATAAATTCAGTATTGAACCTATACTCATTCAGTATACTTTATTAATTTCTACAGGGTCTTTCAAGTAGATTGATAGACGCTGGTTTCCATTTCCAATTTTTGCATAGCTCAATACATTCGCCATCCTGAAAATGTCGCGCGCGTTCTACAGTTGCTTAATAAGGTGCATCCATACCCCGAGACGAACCTTATGTACACATGTTGGTTACTTGTTACCCGAGTTATAACAAAACCAGTTGCAGGATGAATACCGGAGGACCGTCCACCAACATCCGAATCAGCCATTACAGTTCCTCTGAGGGCACCGTTGACCCTCAATTCTGCCGAGAACCATGACTTGTGTTTCGCAGCAACTGTCCACGTGAAAACGTAATATCCTGTAGATGGCACAGTGTAGACGCCCGTGTGAACATTATACCTGTTATATGAGTTCAGTAGCACTTGGTTGAATTGGATGATGGCGCCTGTATGGTAGCATCTTGAACTGCTCAAATAAACATGAAATGCTGTGTACCTGGCTGTAGAGAAGGATATTTGAAAATAAGACATGTAGCAGATTCAAATCTGAGGAAACACACGGAAATTGTAAGAAACATTTCATTACTTACTGGATTTTTAAAAACGCACTTTGGGACTACCTTGCATATTACTTTAACGCCTTTTCCGATCATATTAATGTTAAGAAAAAGAAAGTCATGAGCTGGAAATTATACATAAAGTCGCGCCTCTGGTATAAAGAAAGATTCTTGCATATTCTTACACTGGCAGCCGGTACAGACCGGAATATCTAGCTCGAGGGTAACTGCTTACGGCGGTAACGAGTTTCCGCGAAATAGTTAATCGAGAGCTAGATATTCCCGTCTGCGCAGTCGGTGTTTGATTCTTTTTCTTGTATATAACATGTCAATAATTTTCGGAACAGAAATTATGAAAACTGATATTCTAATTAAGCACTTTCTTATTATAGTAGCGCATGAACTTAAAACTTCATTCATAACGGTGAAATGATGTCATCCTAAGTACGTCATCCTTGTTTTAAATTGGGGAGTAAGATTGAGTTGTAAACAGTAGATAATCCTGTCTGATATGCAAGAAATGATTAACTACTGTTTATTCCGATGCTAAAACACCTGTTTTACATCCCATGTAAGACAATAACGTCATTTCCACGCGCCTTTTATGAATAAATTGCCTTCTTATAATATGACGTCATTGTGCAGTTATGAATGAAGATGTAAATACTTACGCTACTATAAGAAAAAGAGTGCTAAAAATATCAGTTTTCGTTATTTCTTTTCGTATTATCATTACTTTGTAATATGCAAGAAAAAGAATCAAACGCCTGCTTTCGTCACAGACTGGAATATTAAGTTCTCGGGTAGTAGTAACTGTTTAGCGGAAACTCGACAGAGCCTCGTTACAGCCGTGAACAGTTACCCCCAGTCTCTACCGGCAGAAGATCCTTATATGACGTCATAACTTAGTTAATAATAATTTAGATATATTTGGCCAACAAGCACATTAGCCGCGGTTGTGTAGTGGTTAGCATACTAGACCGGGAATTCAGAGGCCCGTGGTACAATTCACTGCTGCATGCCGATTTTTCGGGGGTTTTGTCTGTATATTTAAATGTTTATGTAACTATTTTACCGGTTGAAGAAGGATGATTTACATGGTATTCAATTAAAAGAAGAATGAATTTTACTTAAAATAATTAGATCTACGAAAACTTTAACCAATTAATTTCAACAAGGTACATGTATACGTAGCAATGATTTTAAGGGCTGTAAAATATCAATACAAACCCTGACATCCAAGGGCACCCATGCCAGGTGGAACACCTTCCACTTCCGTTTCATCGTCTTGCACTTCCGTTTCGTCATGCGCGAGTGAATTTTTAGCTTCATTACCTCCGTCCACGGCAGTGCGATCTTTGACTTCTACAATCATATTCTTCAGGAAAGCTTGTAGGCTCTGATTGTTGTTAGTTGACAGTGAAGCAGAAAGTACTGATGGCAACACAACGAACAAGAAACAAAACGAGAATTTCCTCATCTTGAATTGTATGTTACAAGTCTTCGGCCTAAAACAAAACTAATCAAGGGAAATTTATATCAGATGAAAACAATATTTTGACTATGAGATTAGAAAACAAAGGCGAAACACGTTACTTTTTGCGACAAAAATTATAATGTTTTAAATTTCGAATAGAAAAGAAGAAAAAACTAATTCCATAAAAACTAGCTATGATAGCCATATACTAGTTTAAAGTACATGGTACATAATTAATATATTGTTTTCTTTGTAAATTGTTTCAAAGACAACTGCTAGAACATTGATTTTTACACCCTTGTAAGCATAGTAAATTGCAAGTATAGTTCAAATTGTATCCTGAACTAATCATACGCATATCGCGTTAAAAATATTCATAGGCGATGAAGTATCAGTACTTCTAATTCAGTATTCACGAGTTTTAACTGACCTTCACACTTTATTAAGACCTTTATCATGCCAACTTCGCCATGTCTATTGCATTTTTCATGTACTTTGTATCTTGTATTTTTATAATTTTATTTAAATACATGCATGTATTGATGAGGGTGACTGATAAAGTTTACTTTAACTGTACGTTGTTCAATCGGAACATATCGGCTATTATCAATAATAACCTTATCCGAAGTTTGAGGGAAAGTGCCGAGAAGATATGAGTGCCCATTGTTACTGGCGAATTTTTGCTAAGAGAATAGGCGAAATTCATTTTTGCATTTAAATAGGCAAAATTATTTCAATTTTTGTTTCTTGACATGTGATTTTTTCTATAAAGTGATGGCTGAAATTACAATAAAGTAGTCAATTAAAAAATCAAGGAAAACACAAACTTACGGATGAGCGCCGGATTAGTTTTGACATGTTGATATATTCATATTTTATACATTTTAGTTTTAAAAAAGGGAAGTTTGTTTGTGCACTGATACAGAATAGATCAGATGCCGCCAAAACTGGAACCAACCTTGGTTGTTACAAAGACAGGGAATAGAAAATAATGTTTAAATAAATACTTTAAAATGAAATTTTGCTCTTTACTGTATAATAACATTGTAATCACCTGATCCGATCTGAAAAATTTATAAGAAAAAAAACCTCACTATACCGACTATCTTGGTAAAGATATGGAAACCAAGATCAATCAACAAGTAGGGATTCACTGCACGCTTCTTTTTCTGCATCCCCTTACATTCCGTTGAGATACTTTATTCATCTTTCATAATATAGTATTGTTTCAATAAAGTTATGTAACAGTCAATCTGTACTTCAGTACTTTGATTTTATTTGCATTCATTTTTTTATCAATTTAATGTGATATAGACTTAAAGAAAAACTGTTTTCACGAGATGTTGGAGTAACAACGGCACGAATTTTAACAAAATTCCGTAGATGCCTTGCATACAAAGATTAACCTAAAACAGACACAAGTTAGTCATTGGTTTATAAAAATGTATCTATTGTAGACTTACAATAAAGAGAAAAACTCACATTACCTTCAAGATTATGAATGTTGTCTTCTGCTCGATGGTTGCCGTAAATTGCAGCTGAAAATCGCCACATATTTATATACGATTTTGTATGGCACGTAGGAGTAATCATACTTATCAAACTACAACAATGACAGGAAAAATATCCTTTCGTACAGCTTATCAGCTCGTGCAAGTTTAAATTTCAATTGCACTTTATTGTCATACGGATAAACAATTAAATAATACAATTGAACGGACATAAATGTTCTCTTGCGATAATGGGTCGTGATCATCAAATTCTCAATGATTAGAAACTTTTCAAGTACTTATATCATTTGATCATAAAATCAAGTTGATTTGCAGTATTCAGTGATTGAATATTGTTGGTTAATATGTTTATCTATAGAAGTTACAGGAAAATTAACAAAGACATCTACTCGAGACAACTGATAGCAATTTTATACCTTGGTGTCTATGGATACATAATTTACTCCATTCCAAGGGACACAACTGTCACTTTTAACGTATTAGTAAAGCACCGCGTTTTAGAAGTCTCATCCGTAAACCTCAGACTTCCTAGCTAGTAAGAGAGGCAATCAGACCACATCTACAGTTATTCATAATCATCTCCGAGTTAATACTACACCGCTTCCGTGGTCGAGGGGTTAGAGTCGATGACTTCTAATCCAGTTACATCTCTGGCGTGGGTTCGATCCCCGGGAGATGCTTTGGTAGTTTAGCGCGGAGGAAGGTAGTCTAGTAAGATGGTGTAACTCTCCAGGAACGATGACTAGGAAACTACCCGCCTATATGACTGAAATACTGTTGGGAAAAGGCGTAACATGAAACAAACAAACAAACAAAATATTTATGCCGAGCTCCTTACCCGAAGATTGGCGGAAATGGCCGAAAATTTGCGATTGTTGGAGTAGCTGGGGATCGAACTCACGATCCTTGCATATGTAGTCCAATAGTGTTACCACAAACAAAGTTCTACGTCCGCTGAATTCAATTAGTCAACATTATTTAAACATTTTTTTTTCGGTCAAAGTATCAATAAGTACATTTTTTAAGTTAAACAGTGCCGAACTCAATATTAAACATTTCATGTGATTTACCGTGTCATAAAGTTACTAGTATATGCGATAGAATGTCTGGTATTTTTAAAAAGTTTTAAGTTTTTATTTATTTTGCTTTGAGCTATATATGTGGTAGGAGTTACATATCCGGTGGGGGTTGGGGGCGTCCGTGGCCGAGTGGTTAAGGTCGTTGACTTCAAACCACTTGCCCTTCACCGCTGTGGGTTCGAAACCCGACAGGGACTTTGGGTTCTTTCATGTGAGGAATCTATCCAGCTAAATAACGGAACGTCGGTGGTTCTACTCGGGTGCCCGTTCGTGCCTGAAATAATACACGGAAGGCCACCTGGTGTCTTCTTCCACCAGTAAAGCTGGAACGTCGCATTGACCTATACTGTGTCGGTGTGACGCAAAACCCAATTAAACAATCAAACAAATATCCGGTGGGACATATATATTCAGTGGGCGTAATGTAGTGCGTTACAAGACAATAATAATTTGAATTTAAACAGTTACATTTTAACTTTTTTTCTTAATATAAGATATAACCACAGGTCTGTAAGGAATCAAGTAAAGAAACTTTATATGCAAGAGCCGGTTGAACCAGGTGATGCTCCCCGAATAGGCTTTGGACACAGAAAAGTATACATTTTGTAGTTTTAAAGTTATGTCCCGAACAAAGTTTAAAGTTTAATTATTCCAAACTTAGGCTCTGCAGATTAATGAATATTTTGCTCTACACTCCTACGCTATGAGATCTATCTACCTATATTGTTTCATGTTGAAATATTTTATAGTTTTAGAGTTATGTCCCAAAGTTCAAAGTGTAAAAATGATCAAAGGTCAATAACTCCAAAATTAGGCAAGGCAGTGTTATGATTCGTTTGCACTTTGAACATTTCACCCAATGCGATCTAAATACTTACTAAGTTTCATGTTGATGTCTCTTATAGTTTAGAGTAATGTCCCGGACAAAGTTCAAAGTAAAAGAAATGAACAAAGGGCAATTACTCTAAAATAAGACAAGGCAGAGTTATGGTTCTTTACACTGCACTTTTATCCAATTAGATATATCTACTTATAAAGTTTTATGTTGATATCTCTTAAAGTTTAAGAGAAATATCCAGCACAAAGTCCAAAATATAAAAATGAACAAAGGGCAATGACTTTAAAATTAGGCAAGGCAGAGTTATGGTTCTTTGCATTGCATATTTACCCAATGACATCTATCTACCTACAAAGTTTCATGTTGATACCTCTTGTTGTTTCAGAGTTATGTCCCGGCCAGAGAAGCGGACGGACCAGCAAAGCGGCAGCTATATGCCCACCCTTCGGGAAGCATAAAAACTGACAACTGACTTTGTATAAAAATACAAAACTGTGTAAGATCAGACATCTCAAGCCCCCGTCAAAAGTCATCTGCAACAATTACGTCACGTACAACATGATACTGTAAGCAGATTGCTACAGCATGCAGAATTTTTACAAGACGTCTATCCAAGGCGTTCAAATGTCCTTCAACTAAAACAGGTGCACTGGGTCACTTTCTAATGCTTTTCTCATTAGTAAACTAAGTTTCTCATCTCCTAAATATAATTTAATATACTTCAACAAAGTTGATTTTCGAATAAGACAGCATTGCCTCAGCGGTGCCAAAATAGACATGGCGTCGTAAGTTTGTCGTCCAAATCTGAAAATGATATAGTGGATATCGAGTGAATGTATGATCAAGAACGGGTTAAATAAATAGAGGATATTTGTTTGTTTGTGTGTAAGATGAAATTTTATTTCATCGAGTGGGCTTTAAAAACAGTATTCTCACGAGTGGCGTAGCCACGAGTGAGAATACTGTTTTTAAAGTTCACGAGATGAAATAAAATTACATCTTACACAACAAACAGACAAATTTTCTTTTTATTTTATGCTTAAAAACAAGTTAAAACGAAATTTCCATAATTTTAACGTTAATATTAAAATCTGTTTTCCCCATTGAGAGCCCCATTTAGACGGAATTTCTCATTAAAAACAAGAAGTCTTGAGCTGAAAAATAAGTCCGCCAATCAAAGTTAAATCACGGTGATATTTATTCATTTTATTAAAAAAATAGGAATGATCGCTTGTTTTAATAATAAAAACAAATAATTCTTGTAGGAGAATAAGTCCAACCATCCATCCATATTTCTGTTACTTACTGCGAATTTATATTAGACCTGGCTTTGTAAAATGTAAGCGGCAGCCATTTTTTAAAGTTGTGTATTTCATGGGAGGAAAATAATTGTGTAAGATTCAGAGGGATATAATTTGGATTTGTTAGTCATACACCTTTTTAAAAGAAAGAAAACTTATTTGAGGATTGTAACAGACAAAAAATAAGTGTTGACAGAAGTGAAAACATTCAGAAAGGGAGATAGGAAAATGGAAAACTTGGAAGCTTGCTAAAGAACGCTGGTTTGTTTTACTTATTCTACGAGTGATGGCTGTCAATGCTTTTCAATTTTTCATAAAGCATACGGCAGTTATTGCTCGTAGGATACTTTAATATGCCCAAATGTCATCAAGAGCAGTTTTGCATGGGGAAGGAATGTATTTTTCAGACTGCAAAAACGAAACAAAAAAATTTAGAGACGAAATTTGGTGATTGGAATTTGAATGAATAGAAGTAAGTTTTCTCTCTTTATTACTTTTGACATTTAAGTTATTTATCTATTTCAGCTTTGCTATTTCTTTCAACAGCCTGACATTGTCAGAATTGTCAGTAAAAAAAAAAATTGAGGTACCACATGGGGAAAATCTTAAAAAAGTAGTTTCGTCATTGAAAAAAGTGAAATTATATTTTGATAATTTTCACTGTGAAATTATCAAATATAATTTTCACGGATAAATCATTAATCCACTGAAAAGCATAAAATAAAATTGTTATATGCGAACCTTTGACAATAATTTTTTTGTTAGTTCAACAGTATTATTAATTAAGTAAGACGAATATAATATAATATCTAAAATAAGAAATACACTGTTTTAACAGTAAAAAAGGTTACTTTAGTACAGACGTATAGTGTTACTCTAACTTTTCAGAATAACGAAATTGACGTCATTTTAAAATATATGCACGGTCGTGCAATAACGTCTTTGCGGAGTCGCAAAAGCGGCACGGATATGTGATGAAAAGAAGAGTGTTATAATTAAATTACAATGAAAGCAGGTGATGTCTCGTGATAAAACAATTTTTTATCAAATTCTAAAATGACTTTACTGAATTGTTCATGCAAGAAAGTAATGCTTAAGAAATTTGAAACAGCTTTTACACAAGGCTATATTTACATTTCATTGAAAAAGTCTCATTTAAGTAACAAGTGAACAGACGTTATTTAAATTCCGTGCCCATAGAGATTTAAGGATGGATAAAAAATTATGTTTCGAGATTTCTCCATTTCTATTTTTCATAGATTAAATGTTCAATATTAATTTAAAAGTGGAATTAGAATGGCATAGATTAACGAACTTTTAGGACGTAAAAAATAGAGAAAAAAACCCTCATAATTACTGCAAAATATAAATGCACCTTTAAATGTTGTTCCAAATTGTAACCTGAATCGTAAAATTAACTTAATCCTTATTTTGTTCCATTTCTTTATTCATATTTGTTTTGTTTCATTACAGACTCCACTGAGGGTTTTTGCATGGTGGTATTGGAAATACTTTTCAAGATTAATATTCTTTTTGATATAGGTCATAGATGCATTATTCAGATGAACTTTGACTTTCCGGAATAATAATTCTTATTGTGGAAAATAACATAGAATTGAAAAGCTTTGCAACACTTTTCACTCAAATCGGGCTAAAAAAAAAGAACAAAATATGATTTTCGAATTATTTTTGAGTATATTTTCTTTATTTTTTTTTGCAAATCTTTCTATATTAGCACGTTTTTAGACCTTGACCTCAGAGTAGTTCGTTTGAGTTCCATTAAGGAAAATAAAATCAGGATCATTTGATTTTGTCTGAGTAAGTGACAGTTTCTTAACTTGTAAATGTGCTCCCAATCAAAATGGTCATAAGTTAAAAACAACATACATACCCTCTACCGTTAACATACAATATTGGAAATGTATAATTTCCGAACTGCTTGAATGTTGCGATTTTATGTCGATCTTTATTGCCTGTTTGAGTGATAAACAAAAATATTATAGTTATAAAAAGAGAATAATGGAACCCATAAATAACGTCAAAAACGACAAAGTTGAAAATGTTGCAGGCTCAGTTTCATTGAGCCTGTTCATGGGCGGTACTAGAAAGAGAATACTACAGAACACTAGAATATTTGTCAGATTTAAATAAGGGTGCATATCCCAATTCAGGCTTAGAATAGTTGTTCAATATACACAGGATACGCCTTAATTGAACATTTCCCCCGCCATTCTGTTATAAAATTGTCTATATAAGTCTCTTTTTAAAGATCCTGTTATCCTGTAACTCAATTGTTTATGGTTTTATAACATAAATATAATGCTCAAATGAAGATTGATTTATCAATATTTTAAGTTCCAAAAAGCATTATTTGTAAAGATATTACAGGATTTACATTTCATGTTAATAAAGGGAGGTAATTAGAAATTTATCTTCTATAAAGTCTAAGTCATTTTTTTCAATATGAAATGAATGCATATATTTCAATGAATACATATATTGTGGACACATATGTGCAGTAAATATTTTACATATTTTCGATGTTTAAAAAGTGTGTTCTTTAAACGACCTCTTTTTCGCAACACCATAACTTTTGTTTTTTGTGATCTAAATAGTAACAGTGAAATATACATGTACATGTGTATTTGGACGAGCGCACATGTGAATTATTTATAATATACGGGTAAAAATAAGTGAAATGTAAAAAACGGAGATATACGAGACAGTGTATATCATGCAAAACGTGTATTAATGACTTATATACCATGATCCTTACACTCGTAATGTACAGGAAGTTCGTATTTTACTTAAATACGGATTTTTTAATTACAAGGTCGGATATTACTAAAATATGAAATTTTTTATTATTGCAAATACGGATTCTGTATATAAAAATAGAGAATCAAGATGTACTTCCTTCAGAATTACCCACTTTCTATAAGAGGAAAGTAATAGTCGGGTCCCACATTTGTAAGAATAACATAAAATAGTAAAACTTTGAGTAAATGACATATTTACCGGTTTTATAACATGCCAATTACATATTCATTATGAACAGATCCTCGACAATATCCGTAGCAAGTATAGACACAAAAGATAACAGTATTTATTTAAATATCTTTATTTGTATATTAAGATTTACAACGCTACACTCCTTTGCTCAAAAACCGCTTGGTTCGTTCGCTGTATACGTTATGTCGTGTATTTACACCATTTCATTATATTTCATGTTTAAAGTACTTTGAAAAAGATTTCCTTGTTCAAAATAAGTTCTACTATCAATTTGGTTATACAGCGAATAATGAATAATTGCAATGGCCGATTTGATAGTAATGCTTTGTATACAGCGTTTATGGTGAATCCTCAATTAAACGTTATTTTAACATTATGATGATCTAAAATGATATGCAAAACGAGAGAAAATGTTTAAAAGATGTTTATTTACTTGTAGAATCGAACGTTCTACCTCTGTAATCCAACACCCACTGAGCTAATATTTCAAACATGACTGTTGCTTCACGATAATACATGTATAATTGAAAAAATTTCATTTATCTTAATTTGTCAATATTTTGCACAGTTATTGAGCATACTCTCTGTCAAATTGCTTTACAAGTGAAATTCTGGGGTTCAATCGGTGAAATAAAATACATATTACTCACAGTAACTACAAGAGATACTATATCGTGGCCACGAGCTACTAAGTCGTGCGCACGAGATAATAAAGTGGTGCCCACGAGATAGTATGTCGAAGCCACGTATTACTAAGACGTTCGCACGAGATAATTAAGTCGTGGCCACGATATAATTCAGTCGTGGGAACGAGATACTATGTCGTGGCCATGAGTTACTGAGTCGTGCGCACGAGATAATTAAGTGGTGCGCACGAGATACTATGTCGTGGCCACGAGTTACTAAGTCGTGCTAACGAGATAATTAAGTTAATTTCTGTCATGTATTTTTTTCTCTAAATAGTAATGTAACATACTGTATGTTTAACATTTGGTATAACTGCTTCTTTATTGTATGAGGAATTTAGTTTAACAAGTACGACACTGCTCGCGCAAATAATTTATACCGAACTAACCGATAATTAAATGCTTATTGTAGATACCCCAATGCTAATTAAATTATATAAGGTCATGGGAACATGTGACCTCTGCCACCTTTGCATAGGGCCCATGGTGAAGTTGGGGGTACTCCTGACCACCGACGGCCACTGGGAGGTCGAGCGTCGGGAGTGCACCTGGCACGGCCTGAGGAGTATGTCATCGCAGGAAGACCTTATTGGAGCTTCCATGCCACAGGTCGTGCTCTGCTTGAGTTCAGGTCCACGGAAGAGTAGGCGGAGTTCCTACAATCTGAAAACCTTTCTATTAAATTCATTATAAAGTATATTCAATTCACTACATAATAAAACGCTTAAATAACTTAATCTAAAGGGAAGTAAATACAACAACACATCTGCTATGTAAAGCCAAACTCCTATGCAGTGATCTCCCCTTATCAGTTCTATTCTGCCAAGGGAAGTAATCACTGTGAGGAGTTTGATATTAAGCTATTTTTGTTATCTCCTTTAATCTGCCATATTCACACTTCATTACATCGTGAATATTCAAGTATTCTATACCTATCCTTTTTGTTATGGTTAAACATTAGACTTCTCTATTTATCTGTTTATACATTGAAAATGATTCGCATGTTTACTGAAATAGAATACATTTGTATTTATTTTGTTCAATACCTTTGCTCTCCGTGATATTGTGTTATAAATATGTTTAAAAATGTTGATATGACTAGCGAGTTATATACTACGCATGTATATTTTCCATTTCCCCTTTTTCTTCAATTTTATTTTACTTTTTTCTTTTTTTTTTCTCTATGACACCGAACCTACCAATTTTAATAACACTTTCAGTGTATTTTTTTCTATGTCTATCCAGTGACAACTTTAATTTCAATCGAATCTTATTGGTAAAATACCAAGAATAAAAAACAAAAATGAAACACTATCTTTGAATGTAAGATCAGCTTTCTCTGTTAGTTCATATGTTTAGCAAAATATATAGAACAGTTTTGGCTCTCCATGTACTTGATACTTTATCATATAAAAATCTAAAATTTGATATCAAATCAACTGATAATGACACAGGGAAAGACAAGGTTAGAATAAAAACTTGATTTCAGAAAAAGAATACTATAAATAATAAATCTGCAAATTTTCTGCCGCCAAATAATAATATTAAACGAATGATAACAAAATTTAAATCGCTAAATCACCGATTTCTACAAATCAGTAAGCGCGGCCATGTTTGTGTATTGGCCGTATAAAAACAGGTGCGCGTGATGTCATTTCCCCGCATCTTTAGATTTATGATAAATCTAATTGAATCGTAGGGAAATATTTATATAAAAGTGTATTGACCAGACAATTTAATTTTTACAGGAGGTGTAGAGGAGATTTTTATGGTTAAAAATACGTAACAATATCCAAAAAAATAAATAAATAAATAAAAACGAAAAAAAATCAACGTCTACCGGTCGCACCACTTCAGGCCAGTGATGCCCGTTACTCCAAACAATGCTATGTTCATTAAAGTCTCATCTTAATGTAATTAAACAATATTTCACAGATTTAATAAAAACACATGTTATTATTTAACAAAGTTTCACAATCAAATAATGCGATTAAATAAACAAACGCACCAACGAATAATTGGCTGTTAATTATTGAGCGGCGATAATTATCATTATTATAAAAATCCTACTAAAACGTGTTCTTAATAGTACATGTAATTAAAATTTTGCAGTTTGATTCTGACTTTCAAATTTAAAGGTGTGATAATTGATGTACACATTTCAAAAATATAAGCAACTCTTTTGAAAAGTAAATTGTTAACATGTCTGTCAAAGTATGATGCTGCGCATGATCGTAATCGTAGCCTAATATTAACTGCAGGCAAAACATTTTTATTGGCTGCTCAAAAATCTAATTTGCATAATTTATTCACACAATTGCTGGTTCCTAATACTTATGCACTGTCCATTTTAATTGTTCCTAATTTGCACCAAATGTTCCTGTCACACTGTGTACTCACGATTTTTATTGCTTCTTGTATGCCTCTGTGCCGACAGACCTTTTGATCATGCACAATTGTGCCCTGATTGGTTAATCACCCTTGTCAAATATTCTAATGACGAAATAGATATCAATTTTTTTACGCTTCATCAGTGAACTGAATGACCTTAGTATTCCAATTATACTGTAAATTACAGCATGTCATAAAATAGCAACACATTTTTTTTCAGTTACCAATAATCATTTTAGATATTAAGTAGATTTATGATTTTTTGTTTTATTGGATTAAATTTACTATAGAAGAAATGCGTATCTTTGTGGGAAAGAAATTGGGTAAGTAGATAACGTGGAAAAAAAGCTATAGGGAACTGGATAAACCCGAGAATATGCGTAATTACAGGGGAATGGGCAACCCGTTGCTGTTGGTACCAGTTTTGACTGGGTGCCTAAATAACCTAACGGACAGTTTTGTTTTCATACGATATTAGTCTGGCTGCCGATTTTTCTGCGCCATTCTCATTTTTAGCGTCAATGGCGGAAAATCGCGTCCTCAGCAGATCTCTGCATATTGGATTTAGTTGATATTTTACCTGAAAAAAAGATACATGACCGGCGATGTACCCTATTCGGACAGCTTGTCTAGCGACAATTAAGTACAAAATAAAAGGATATATCGTCAATTTGAAGAAGTTTCTCATAGTACCCAAATTAAATTGATGGTTTATCTTTGAAAATTAAGCAGTCATTGCTTAAATCATGTGGTGGGATCATCAGCAAGCTTGAAAATCGGACAAATGATAATTAATGTCGCGGCGTCTTCAATTAATTAATTAAAGCAATTCAGTTCCATATGATGTTTTCATAAATAATTTATAATGTACGCAATAAGATTAATAAGTTCTTCATCAAGATATATTTCAATTGTACCAGCGTGTACACCTATACCGGAAGTGGGTGTAACACATCACAATCTCGGTCTCGTCTGTCTCGCGAGAATGACAGAACGCCAAAATGGCGGCGCCCATGAACTTATTTCTCAAGTAAAAAATAGTGTCTTAAAACACGAATTTCTCACTTATAGGGTTGATGTCAACAGAAAAACTGTCATGGTACCTCTTTTTAAATGATGAATATTTATATTAGACAGACATCAATCCATCCATTCCTATTCCTTTAACAAGGAGGAACATATACCGTGGTAATAGTGAAACATAACGGTATATTACATGTATATCAGTCATGACGTCATTATAGGGACCTTCTTCAAAGAAAATTGCTGAAAATTCAAGTATTAACAAATTAATTGCGGATATCTCAAAATTCTAAATCGGACCCCATTTTATATTTAACTCATGCTGTGCATCTTGTTCTACAGTTGTTGACTTTAGTTTGCATTTGATGGACGGTTGTGATTTTTCAGTTAAAAGCGTTGTTTGGCATTCCATGTGAACTGGGTCCACGACCGTTACCGCGCTTCTTCTGGCGGTAGAGAAGGTACGTCGCTATAGAAAAGCATGCCGATATTCCTGCTGATACAGATGACGTCACACACATCCAAAATCCCACATACAATATTTTTCTGTCGTAGTCATTTACGATCTTCGTAACATACACAATAGGTCCAGTCGTAATCAGTAGAACTAGAAATAGAAAAATGAATATATGAAAGTACCAATGGTCAAAAGAACTTATGTCTTATACAATCCTTTAGCAACACTCATCTCATTGTTCAGTACTGGTTGGTTCCAGGAACGGATTCGAAAGTGTATCTATAAGCTTTTAGCTTCCTACACAATCGTCTGTATAAACCAAACAATCAAGACGAGATTGAAATCTCGTGTACCCGTGATATGAAGTTCTTTATACAACACTATGTTCGTTTAGTGCATAATTTGTAATTAAAACTATATCAATTAAGAGACCACTCAATAGATAAAAAACCAAACAAGGATAATAACTCGGTTTTATTGAGTGTGTTTATTAGAAATAATAGAAATTTGAACGTTTCTTATGATCTAAAGAACTGGTTTAAGCTGCCCGTCAGTTATAGATACAAGGCATTATTGGCATTAATGCTACTATAATATAAATGGTTATTAAAATAGATAAATGGAATTGCAATTGACAGACATATGTATTTTAAATCATCAACAGTAAATGTTTTAGAATAAATTGATCCCTAAGGAATCATGAAATACAACACTTGGATATATAAGGGGTATCTTTTAACAGCCTCCACCTGTACGTAACGTCAGCATTCATTTAGTTACCTGCAATAATTGTTGCCACGATTGTCCCAAATGATATTTTCATAAATCTCCGATACTCTTTCTCCTTGTAACAACAGCAGACGATAATGGATGTGAATAAACTCAATATTACAAAGATCAACCCGGTAATCAAAGTTGCCTTAACTGCTGTCATATCATCTTCATCTGTAAGGAAAGGAAATATAAGATTTTTTTAAAAAATTAAACTGTTATAAAATGCTCCTGTACAAAAATGTATGTGTCGTCATACATGTAATGAACAGTAAAGGACTTTGTTTTCGTTTTGGCAATTTATTCTATTTCAACAAAAGAGAGTTTCTCCGTTAGGCAGTGCGCATTTTGTATAAGATATCTACTTTTCATGTCATGTTACGTTACCTATATTTCAAACATTTTTTTAACAAAATTAAAAAAAGAATGATCTTGATTTTAAGAGTCGAACGGAGCCCGTAAAATATCGATTGGGTAAAAAAAGTTGACCGGAGCCCGGATATAATATATTCATAATGTGTTAATGTGAAAGTAGCAGAAATATTTATCAAAATTATGATGTATTGCATCCTAAATATTTATCAAAATTATGATGTATTGCATCCTAAACGAAAAGGACTATCAAAACAGATTAACCTTTTACCTCATATAGGCGTGTTTTGACGGCTTTTCACCCCCCCCCCCCCTTTGAGGCCACACATAGTGAAAAAGGCCCTATGAAGGCCCCAAACACTGTTTTTCGTTTCGAAAAAGTGATCACCTTTTCGGCGCCGCCCCTTATCAAAAAGGTACATCAATTTTGGGTGCTAGAAAGGGAAGGTGCCCCTTTCTGTTTGGGGGATTTGAAGGGGTGACAGCCCCCCCCCCCCCTCCTCATCGCCAAGAAAATTGTTGGACTTGTGAGGGGCTAAAAATGGCCTCAGGTCAATCTTAAGGTAACATGCAACCTACGCTGAAAAGCCTTTGACTCTATCTCAATCCATTGAGAAGTTGCAGCACTTTGAAAGCAATTTTGAGACGTCCCTTGTTGTCATGGTAACAGGAAATTTAAGATTGAGCATGCTGTTATAAAGGTTATGTCAACGTGTTTGCCAAGTTTGATTAGTATTGAAGTATTTTTTATAGTTTCATAGCAGTTTGAACTTGTAATAGGAGGCTTTTTGATGAAACAGTCTTGTTTTGCAATATGCTCATGCGGTAAAATGAATCTATTAAATAAATAGATAAATTAAGTAAAATTATCTATGAAAATAAATAAGATTTACCAAATGTTCTCCCAGTAAGGCCTCTCCATGACTCATCATCCCATTGCGCATGCGTCAAGTTGTTGACTTTCAACTCGACTACTTCACTTTTTAAGAATAGTCCAGCGTTTATTTTTCTAGTACCGTTTGCTACAAGCATTCCTTCATCTTTTTCTATAATAACCCACAGCGGCAAACCTAATGCAAAAGCGCCCGCCACCAATGCGACGGCATTAAAGAAAATTGACAAAGAAAGATTACACTTAGTCCATCCCATGATTTTTTTTGTCTTATATAACAAATCTTTATCTTTTAGACGAGACTTAGATGCATTTGCTTCTACTCTAGTTATAACAATGATCTCGTCACTATTTATTTACTTTATTTTCATGTATATGTATCTTTATTTAGATTTCTTACGTATGTTTTATTATGGGGTAGTTCCATAACACATCATGGTAATAAGGATCCCCGTTTTTGAATTACGTGTGGACATATTTAGTACATTGTTGGTATATTAATGCGTAGTACTTAACTTTTGTAGTATGTAACTAAATAAATACGGAAGTTAATGTTTGATTATCGTGATACGTGCAAATCTATAAAAGTACATATCTACAAAAATTAACGTAGCAACCTGTATAACGAGCCAAACCAAAATTATAATAAATAACGTTGTTGTTGTTGTTATTAACACTTTTTCGGTCATATCTCGGCATTCGATCCACCAAACCGATTTGCCTTGATAACTGACCAGTAATTACCAATAACTCCGCAAGTTAATGAATTCGAATAACACGTGATTTCTGTGAGATAAATGACCAGTAGGCTCAATTATCAATGGAAAGTACGCCTTGCCCGGGGATTAAACCTTGCAGCAACCCTTTAGGCTTTCCCTGATCTTAGCGGGTGAACATGTTTTTACTGTAGCAGGTAAGGATGATTCAAAAGTGGATTTTTACAAATCATTGTATTCCGAAAATACAAATTATTGTATGTCTTTACGGTTGTTTGAAATAACCAGTTAGTGCAAGAGGCACGTAAAATGTATATAAATACACTTGTTTAACTTGTGTAGTGTATTCAGTTTACTTTTGACCACGTTTAAGCGTTTAAACATTTAGATGTGCAGATAATAGCCATTGACATTCTTGTCGGATTACTAAAGGACGGGGATTCCGTTGAGTAACTTCTATAAATATACGACTGAGCTTTACATGCATAAAAAAATTTGAAAATCTTACAAAATCAAGTAAATCACTTAAAATGGGAAATTCTGCAAAATAATAACAGAAGAAAATAACTGAAAATTAAATTGAAAATCAATTGAATATTCCATTATTAGCCGAAATTCAGAGATAAACGCTTTTCATTTTTGGGCAATTGTTTAAATAAAATTGATTATTCTGGGACAACAAAATTAGGAAATGGGCTAAATATTTGCACGTAAGTTATTAAACAAGACATGAATCAGTTGGTGCACAAATCTCCGGAAAATATTTTACAGCCACGCCATGTCTAAAAATACCTCAGTGGAGTCTCTTTAATAACCAATTTCAAAAATAACCTCATTGTATATGTACTTTGAATAAAGATAGGTAACAGGGTAATCAATATTAGTGAAGATACAAACAAATTTAGTGTTTGAAATTATTTTTGTCCGATGAGATCGTATAAGAGTATATTATTTTTGTCCGATGAGATCGTTTAAGAGTATATTATTTTTCGATCAGGTTGGTGTTCATATATACCCAATCATTTATCAATATTTTTTATCAATCAATATTTCATAAGATTTTCAAAATGATATATTTCTTCAATATGCCATCAATATTTGAAACTTAAAGGAAAATATGTCCCATTGTAAATCATCGGGTGTTTTAGTTGCTAGTGTGGCCATACCACGTGACTTTTCGGGTACGGAACACGCCGATTTTTCACCCGATTCAGGTATGTTTTTTATTCATAACTTATTTATTACTCAACCGATTTTGATCAGATAAGGCGCAGAGTACCCGTAATTATATCAGTTATCCACGGTATATCAAAATTCTGAAAACCCCTGAATGGTTTTTGAGAACATTCGAGTACAGTTTTCTTTTCATAGCCTGGGCCGAGGGGAACGGTACACACTCATTTGTCATAACAGGCGATTTCTAGCAAGTCATATGTTTTTTGACACTATTTCATAGAAAAATACATGTTAAATCTGATATGTTTAATATGTCCAATGTATCGAGTGAATGCAGTGATGTTTTAGCATATTTTCATAAAGTGATGTTGAAATGATACGGAACACACTGTTATTTCAAAAGATACGGTACACACACAATTTCTGTCTTTGAAACAATTCTAAAATAAAAAATGAAAAACAATTAATTCAAATTATAATGTGAGTGGTTTTTTTTTCATAGTTATACATTTTATTAATTTAAACGAGAATCCTGGGACCTGTTTTGCAAAGTATCATTATGCCTACAGTTTGATGTAAACAGGATTATTCAAAAAATAAAAGAACATTTTGAGAGCACGTTGCGCAAAATTCGATTTTATATGTTGAGCAATTAATATTTGGCTATAAAATGTTAAAATTTTAGGGAGGGATACGGAAGACATTCAAAATTTTGTTTTGTTTTGATTTTTATTTGAAACAATTAGGTATATTCTTTTATAGGGTTAACGCACGTTTTTCCGTGTTATAACGTCTGCAGAGTCCCGAGGAACGGTTGGTGCCCGAGCCCGGTAGGGCGAGGGCTCCAACAGTTCCGAGGGACTCTGCAGACTTTATAACACGAAATAAACGTGCGTTGACGCTATTATAGCATAAAATTTTCAAACAGATTCGTGATGTATAGTTTAAACAAAAAACAATTACATTAAATTCTTGTGCTTGGACGGTATTTATCCAATTCTATGTTTTACGTATGCGTTTCATTTTTCCGGGGCCAACAATTTGGAAAATTCTCGGAACCGAACGAAATTTTGAATTTTAATTGATTTAACAAAGCTTGGCCTTTGGAGATTTATTATCTCAAGAAAAAAACAAAACGTTACATTACTCTACCCTCTACCCAAGACAAAACATGACCCTCAGAAATTCTTAGAATGATTTCAGATTGACGGTAGAAAAAGATCAGTGACATCAGAATCGGTTTTTTTTTCAAGCAAACAAGTTTACAAAAAAATCAGGCACTAAGCATTATTCTCTCAAAGAAATATAAAGAGCATTTATCAACATAAACATAAATAAAAAACATTTCTCATACTAATTTTGTGTTATCTAGTTTTGTAAGTTAATCGGAGTGTTAAACTAAATGACAGGTATTCTACTGTATTTGTTTACATTGACAACTGTCCGTTTCTTAGAAAGGGCGACAACCAAGATTTGCACCGATGTCTATACGCCGTTTTTCCGGCATAGTTACTTGAATATGCGACTGAGGCCCTCGAATCAATAAATTTCAATATAACAAGAGCGCATGACTCTGGCAAACAGGCCAAATCGTCATTTTTGTTTGTTTGTTTACTGGGCCCTGTATGTATTGCGCATAGGTGAAACCGGGCTATAACAAGAGCGCGTGACTATGTTAACACATGGTTTTGGTCCCGTTATAACATGGGCAAAAGAGGGAAAAATAGCCGATTTTATGCTATAATGGATTATAAAACGAATTGTGAAATTAATGGACATCTGTTATGTGCGATTATTATTTCATTTAATTTGTTTGTTCGAATATATAAATGACTGTCTAAACGTAGTATGAATATATAAACAAACAAGAAGCTATAGGAGTAAGTTAGAAATATATGTTCCTTGCAAAATGTTGTTTAAATAATCGAATTTGGAGAAAACGCTGGTTTGATGTCAGTGGATTTTTTTAAATCACGGAAAGTTTAAAGTTTTTTTCGGCCACATGATATTTGGTATGAATCATCTGCCAGGGTCCCAAACTAACTGTATGTATCTAAATTATCAAATTATCTACATATGGACAAATATATTTCGCAGTTTACGTGCAATCAAAATTAATAATTTGATAATTTGAAGAACCCATATGGGAACAAGGCCTGTTATATAACGTAACGTAGTTTATACAAGGTAGCCTTGTTACATATACATGTAAGGATATACATGTTAGGAAATTGGGTAAAATTATGCCTATCTTGGACTTTCATTTCAAGATGCATTTAACACTTGAGTTCATGGATATGTGTGCTTGCGTGTTTGTGTTAAAAATAAAATGATATTTTGTCAATCCAATGCTATTTTGTCAATCAAATGCTATGGATATATGAGGCTGCGTTCTGTTTTATATACTACATGAAGTAGGTTCGAGACCACAAATTACTTCGATGTTTCGATTTTTTATGTGAGAAAGTTTTCTTACTACCGTACACAATGTCGGTCGTTTTACTCAGGTGCCCGTTCGTTCCTTTATTTATACCCAAAGGGGCACTTGTAAAACTCGAAAGTCGCCACATGAAAATGTCAGTTTTATGAGCCGTGAAACCAAACCAAAAATGACCTTGTTACATGAATTAAAAGTTATTTTTAAAGCTTCATGCCTTTAAACATTAAAAATTTAAGCAATGGCGACTACATTTTTTTTGTTTGGGTCGTCAGACCAAACAAATAATGGTAGCGAAATTTCAGGCTCTGATATGCTTATTTGCAAAATAAGAAAGTAGTCCGAACCCCTGGAAGCGGTTACTTACCTTTATATGTACTCTAACGCTGAAAAAATAAAGGGGGTCACTGTGTTAAGATTGTCAAATGACAGGCGCATTAATTTTCAAGCCTTCTCGGGAGAAGAAAAAGTAGTTCCCGACTGGTCAAAGATTTCAAATATTGTGTAATTCTTTACAGATATACATGTAATATTAAGCTCCATGATTATTTACATCAGTGTCAAACGAAATTAATAAGGGTTACAAACCCTAATTTAGAATGATATGGTTTTCTTCCGGCTGTTATCTTATAAATTCCCCGTGGTCGAGGGGTTACACGCTCGTTTAGGAAGAGAGATGTCCTGAGTTCAAATCCAAGTTAAGGCAACTCATGTTGTTTTTTTTTTGTTTTGTTTTTTTTAAATTGTTTAAGCCAAATAAACAATGAATTACAAATCAGTGTTGCAATAAGCCTTATAGCCAATTAATACAGTTATGACACTAGAAACAACATTGGTGGCACTATACAAAAACAAATTGGTTTACAATCTCACGGCCTTCACCTTTCTGACATTCTGAGACCCAAACAAATTCAGCGCCTTCTGTGATTTGATTTAATTAAATATGACCATGATATTGCAAAATTGTACCTAAGGACTTGCTGATTATTAACAATTAAAAATATATATATATTGTTATCG